TTTAGAAGGAGTTAGGGCTTTTCCTATTGGGCCCCCTTCTACCTCACACAGTCCTGAGAGTTTTACGGTCAGATCAACCACAGTGGCCCAGACAAGAGCTGAGAGTCCATGGATCAGCATGCCAGAGTGTGACTCATGGGTTCTACGCCTATGGCTTTGTGCTTTCATTCCTGGGTTTGCAGAGTTAGGCAAGAGGGATAACAGCAGAGCTAACCTCCCAGGGAGAAAGAATGTAAGTTAAGAAATGGGGCCACGGAGAGAGGGGGCGGAGGAAAGCAGCGATGGCACCAAGCACTTGGCAGTCCTTTCAGGTCTTCAGAGTTTGCAAACTCTGTCCCCAGGGGAAGCAGGCGGGGGACACAGCCAGCAGAGGGCAGCAGCTGCAGTAACCTGGTGGACGTGTGTAGTGAGGGGCAGGGGCACCCGCTGTGTGGGTAGGCGAGGGTAGGCGGGTCTCTACGTCTGGAGTTCCAGACTGAGTACGAGCCTAGCCGCTTTGTATGGCACTTCCCTGAGACTGGCCTCGCTCCTAGTGTTCACCAGCCCCAGGCTCCCAGACAGGAAGTTAAGGCCTGAGGAGTTTACGGAATGCTCTTTCAACCTAGCTGGTCCCTCCTCCCCGTTTCACAGGCCAGCATCCTGCAGCCCACACAGGAGCCCCTCCTCTGTCCTGTTCTCTGCCCCGACTTTGACTTTGTTTTTCTGGCACGCAGTATGGGAGGCGGGGCTTCTGAGGTCACGATCCAAGGATTTATCAAGAAATTTGCTGACGAAGCGGCGCTGATGGCAACAGATAGCCTGGCCTTGGACCCACCCCACCCAGGCAGAAAGTTTAGAGCAGACTTCACCACAAAAATCTTTTAACAGTCTGTTCCAAAATAACCAATAGGACCTACCCAGATCCTGGCAAGGTGTGTGTAATTCAAGCTCACCTGCGGATGTTGTGTGCACTTAGATGCCTCGTGAGCTTCATTGCAATGGGAGGCACCTCAGTATCCTCACGGGAACCTAGCTCAGAAGCTGAAAGAATGGCCAGTAGTAGTTACAAGGTGCACCGTTCTGGGAACGAATCACTCTTCTCCCCTCCCGCCAGCTGCTCCAGCTGCCTCAGAACCAACTGAACTCCCAAGCATGGCGGTGGATCCTAGGCAAACATGGAGGTCAAGTGTGGAGGTAGTGATGGAGCCAGAATGGCTCAACAGGCTCTGGAAAGACTGAGTCTGCACTCTACGCCTTGACCCTTCATAATTCCCTCTTGGCAGAACACACCAGAACGAACAAACTAGACCTCTGAGGTCATGGACTTCTCCCTAGAGGAAGGAGCAGACAAGAAGCCAACCCTGAGCGCTCTGCAGCTGCTGGGGGTGGGGGGTGAGGGCTAGGAAGCACAAGAAGGTGCTGAGAGAGGCCATGGGCGGATGCAAATGTCCTGTAGCCTTGAGCATTCCTGGAGGGTTAGAATGGACCACAAAGATAGGGTGGAGGCCGGGCGGTGGTGGCACACACCTTTAATCCCAGCACTGGAGGCAGAGTTCAAGTGGATCTCTGTGAGTTCGAGGCCAGCCTGGTCTACAAAAGCTAGTTTCAGGACAGGCTCCAAAGCTACAGAGAAAACCCGTCTCAAAAAACAAAAAACAAACAAACAAAACAAAAGATAGGGTGGAGCAGAGAATGAGTGGAGTTGAAGCTGAGGTCCTGTCGTACATCAGGAAAGGTCCCCTAAGGGTCTTCTCTGTGGGGATGGGGCCTCTGGGGGCTCTGAGTGGCCTTTAAGCTAGGCTAAAAACGTCATACCACTGTACTGAGAACACAAAGAAAAGCGACCAGGTATCAGTGGGGCCTGCAGGAGGTGAGACGTGAGAGCAGTCTCCTCTGGCCAGGTTTACTGAAGGAGGCTTGTGTGAGACCAGGTCTCCAGAGAAACAGAGCCGACAGAGGTGTGGGTAGTGTGTAGAGATTCATTACTGAGACTTGGCTCCACTGCTAGCAAGCCAGGAGGCCAGAATGCTGGAGCCCAGCTGATGCCAATGTCAGGTGAAGACTCCCCTACGTGGATAGCAGCTGGAGGAGCGCGCTTGCACGTGGGAAACGCACGTTCCATCCAGGCCCGCCTACCTAGGATTGCGAGTTTCCTCTGGAAATATCTTGAGCCACTCCGAGATAAGGTGACCTGCTCTGGAATCCTGAGGGCCAGCCACTTTGACGTAAAACTAACCATCCTATGGTGAGGAGACACTTCAGAGATTCGGAAGGTCTGCTGGAGCAAGCAGGAAGAGGGGAGGCCGTGATGCTACAAGATGGGGCAATGCATTGAGCCCCATCTCCAGCCAGTCTCCAGTCAGAGGTGCTCAAGAAGCAGCTGGGTCTGGGAGCAGGGGCTAGGCTCTGGGGGAATCTAGAGAATGGGGCAATCATAAGAGCAAGGTCATCCAGGCAGCTAACAGACTGACTGAGGTAAGTCTATCTGTTAGGGGCAGCAGCAGGTAGGGGGAGGTCATGACACAGTCTCAGAGGACAGATATGGCAGGGCTCGCCTGCAGAATATTATAGAGTCAGCCAGTGGAGACACTAGCTATGAGGAACTACTCTCTGCCTCTGTGGGAGGGAGAGGCAGGCTCTTAAGAGACGTACAGATGCCTGGAGGAAAAGGTTAGAAAAGCTCACAGTCAAAAACTGGGGCAGGAGGTATCCAGAGAACATTACATAGTTCTCAGACTCCGTGGCACAGATTGTGTGGATTCTGAGTGTCAGGAAGGGCCCTGGGGGTGCTGAGTTGCTGACCCTGGAGCCACCTGAGAGCCTGAAACACAGGGACCCCTGGGGGTTGATGATATCACTTGAGGCGTGTAATCCAAGTGGTGCCCAAGGACAGCTGGGAGAAGGCCAGGACAGGACAGTGACGGTTTTACCAAGGAAGCAAAGCACGTTGAGTGGTGGGACCCAAGGGGCTGAGACGTCTCCAGGAAGTGAGGGCAAGATCTGCACATATAAGGCAAAAATCCTGGGAAGCAATAGTAAGCTCTGGCCATTGTCAACCCAGCTAGAGGGAAGAATTGAGGGGTGGGGTAGCAGGGCATTGGAGGTCTGTAGGAGGCATCTGCTTAGCTAGGGTTGGGGAACAACTGCTTGTTATTACAACTAAGAGTCATGGGGGCTGGAGAGAGATGGTTCACAGGTTAATAGCAATGGCTGCTTTTTCATAAATCCTGAGTTCGATTCCCAACAATCACCTGGTGGCTCACAACCATCTGTAATGAGATCTGGTGCCCTCTTCTGGCCTGCAGGCATACAGAACACTGTATACATAATAAATAGATAAATCTTTTTTTTAAAAAATAAGTCAAAATAGGGTGTGGTAGAAAGGGAACAGAGAGTTAAAGGGACCCCTGCCCCGGGAATTGGTCTGTGAAGAACCAAGAAAGCTAAGCCTGAAGATGAGAGCCATGTTGGCTTAACAGCATGCTAAGTTCTCTTCAGGGCCTTTCAGAAGGATTGATGCGCTTCCCAGGGGTACCAGCAGGGATTAGGAGGCCAGGTACCACCATCCTTTCCTAGTCCCAGTCTCCCTTGTCTGCTCCTCCTCCTCCTCTTCTTCTTCTTCTTCTTCTTCTTCTTCTTCTTCTTCTTCTTCTTCTTCTTCTGTTTTTCGAGACAGGGTTTCTCTATGTTGCTTTGGAACCTGTCCTAGAACTCACTCTGTAGACCAGGCTGACCTCGAACTCACAGAGATCCACCTGCCTCTGCCTCCTGAGTGCCAGGATTAAAGGCATGCACCACCACCACCCAGCTTCTAACTGTGCAAAGAGACAGACCCCAAGCAGAAATAGGGTACTTGGGGACTTGACCTGACAACCCCTAAATGAACTCAAGATTCAGGAGGCATCTGAGAACCCTAGGTATCCAGAGTCAGCAGGGACCCCAAAGCTATCCAGATGTGGGGTAGATCCATTTGCTGGGTCCTTATCCAGAGCCCTCGTCTCCTCCAGGACCCTCTTCTCCCTGGTCCTGGCCCACCCCTGTACCCACAGGAGTGGGGTCTCTGCGCTGGGTGGCTAAGGTAGAGGTAATGGGCTCCAGAGGGAGAGGGAGAGCAGATATGGTTTATCCCTGTCTGCGTCCCACTCCTCCACATCCCTTCACCTAGGGTGGGGAGGTCGCCAGTCTGTTCTCAGGCTCCTCCACTGTGTCCGTCCCCTGTCCCCTTCCGAGACCTGCGCAGTGGATAAACAGGTTGTCCTCATCTCCATACAGAATAGCTAGAGCTCTGAGAGGGAGCAGCTCTTCCTACGATATCCCTCGGATGGAGCTGGCCTTCCCGCTCATCTCCCATAGCCCACCAGGGATGTCCTGCCCTCTGCCACCACAGAATCTTGGAGCCACACTGAATCCCAGCCTCCAGCTCACCACAAGTCACCAGACCCTCCCACAGTTTCAAAAGGCCTGTAGTTCTGCCAGAGGACATTCCAATCTGAGGTTGCTTCTGGTTCTCCTTATGAGGAGGATGGAGAAAAATTAACCCTCCTCGTTTGAATAAAGGATCCAGAGCCCCTCAGGGCTGTCCCCAGCACAGCTGGTTCATCCTAGATTGGGGAAGCACAGTTCATTCTTACTTCCATGATGAGGGGAGTCATAAGGGATCAGAAGATGGAGGAAAACCAAACACGTGGCTCCAAATCCCAAGAACATGGAGCTCAGCACAATGAGCCCAGGAGTGCATACACACGGCCCAGACTCCTCTGGCTTCTTAACTCCGTTATCCTGAAGCAGAACCTAGTTAACCTGGTGCATAACTCGGAGAGCTTGATGCTGAAGCCATGACATCAAAGGGCTCCAAAGGCATGTCACCCTCCCAGATTTTTGACCCAGAGACCCAGATCCCACCGGATGTTCTACGTCACTGAGGGCTTGCGTGCCTGTCGGAGACAAGGAGCAGCTGACATGTGTGAGGCATTAGCCCTGTCTGCTCTCCTTGGCACATTGTGAAGCCCCGGGGAGTTTCCCTTTTAAAGAGGTGGCCCTTCAAAGCTCAAGGACTCGGGAGCAGGCTGGATGTCTCTCTGGGTTTCAACCACAGGACTGAAGCGACGTCTGTACCCCCTTAACCTGCGTGTGCTCCTGGTGAGTGTCGGGGTGCTGGGGAGTAGACCTGGGTAGAGGCCAAGCAATAATGAGGTACAGAAAGTCTTTTCCATTTCTGGGTAGAAAGCATCCCGTGAGCAGCGTCTGTACATCCAGGGAATGACATCATGCCACAGCTCGAAGGGAGAGGGTCTGCAAGGCTGAGGACTCTCAGGCCATGGACAGAGGGGGCTCAATAGCCCCAGGCCGAAGAGCAAGAGGCATGTATCTGATGCCCAGGGTGGTGTGGGGAAGGGGGAAGCAGTAGCTAGAAGCAGGACCCTTTTACATGCAGCGAGAGTGTTGGGGTGATAAAAGAGAAAGAGGACCTTGTGGGGCAGCTCACCAGGAGCGGTAAAGGACTCCTGGGCAGGATGAGGAGAGATACGAAGAATTCACCATCCTGAGGACGGCCTGGAGGTGACCGCAGTGAAGGCTATTCTTCAGGTGGCCTGAGGTACCACAGGACAAGGCCCCTGGGAAGGGAGCTAGGCTTTGGGGATAGAGGTCAGGGTAAGGGCTTGGCTGTTGGAGCTGAAGATTCAGCGGTCTGGGGGACATCTCTGTGCGGATATGGGGGATATCTCTGTGCGGATATGGGGGTATCTCTGTGGAAGTTACCCTGGTATGCAGCTGGGAGATAGGCTAGTCTGCTGTGCCATCTGTGACCCAGTGACATCCTCTGGGAAAGGACATAGGGATAGATGACATGCGGGTTTCCCCTCCACATGCAGCCTCCTGTCTAAGGATTTGAGTATATGCTTGTTTAACATGCGTGGGAAAGTTCACACATATATCCATAGCTTGTCCACACACCTGGAACTGCTTGTTAGGGGTGTGCCCAAGTGTTTCTTGTCTGTGATGATCTGTGAAAATGTGTGGGACCTGGCAGACCTGTGTTTGCAAAGATACCTCTGCACAGAGAGTAACCTTCAAATGTGGATATGTTCGTCCACACATGTTTGCTGCAGATGGTGTTTATGACGGAGTACACTTGCAACGTGTAGATTTATAGACGTGTGAGGAGCGTGTCTGTGTTTTTGCTGTGTGTGGGCGTTACCCGTGCGTGCATGGTTCGGATGTCCTCTGTGACCTGTGTTTATTGGAGGATGTGGTAGATCTGAGGTCTTGTGCTGCCCTGCAGTTGTCTCTTCTGCTCCGTGGCTGGCTGGTGGCATGATCAGGGTCAAGTTAGCACATTTGGGTCTCAGATGGCAAGAGAAGCTTGGCAGCAGCTCCCTAAGCCTCCACATCACAACGTGGCTTGGTATAAGGAACTGTAAGAAGCTCTGGCTAGTAATTCTTTCCGGGGCCTTCAGTGTCAGAACTTAGTCATTCCAGGCCCATTGGGGTAACCCTGCTCAATGGAACATTTTCTGGGTTGGGAAATGGTTCACTGTTGCTCTCTGTGGCATTTTCTCTGGCTCTGATTGGAATTGAATAGCACTGTTTAGGTACTGTGTGTTTATTTTATGGTGATCCTTCTGCTTTTGGTAAGAGCATCTTTCTTTCTTTCTTTCTTTCTTTCTTTCTTTCTTTCTTTCTAGCTATGGTAGACCAGGCTGGCCTTGAACTTAGGTCTTCCTGTCTCTGACTCCTGGGATTAAAGGCACCAGCCTGGTCTACAACAGATAGTTCCAGGACAGGAACCAAAAACTACAGAGAAATCCTGTCTCGAAAATTTAAAAAAAAAAAAAAAAAAAAAGACCGTGAGGTTACTGGAGACCATGCCATGCACAACATTCAGCCCACTGGAAGAAATAACTGAGAACAGAAACACTACCACATGAAACTTAGCTTGTCCTCCAAAGGAGGCTAAGACTTGTGGTCACTGAGAGTTCAAGGCCAGCCTAGGCTGCAGAAAGGGATCCTGTTTTAAAAACAACAAAACACTAAACCAAACAGAACAATGACAACAAAAAATTCACCACAAACCAAGTCAAGACAGAAACAAACGGTAGCCGCCCCTCCTCCTACTGAATCCTCTAGGAGGTATCAGCAGGGTGTGTGTAAATCCTATTTTTAACCATCAAGAGGAAGGAAGAAAAAAAATTAAAGAAGAAGCTGCAGGAGCGCAGAAAGGGCTGGTCAGAAGGCAAAGGTCTCAGCACACTGTGAGAAGGAGAGGCAGAAGGGAAGAGCTCCTGAAGGGAGCCCTGTGGGTGATAACGAGCTGAGGGAGTTCCCCAACTCAGCAAAGATGTGGCCTGGAGCTGGAATTGTAGTCAGTTGACTGTGAGAGTCTGGAAAAGCCTGAGGGAGAGAGACAGAGAGGAGGACAGACAGAGGGAACTAAAAACCCAGCCAAGGAAGGAGAAAAGCCATTAAGAGACATTCCTGAAACAGAAATCGTCCAGAACCATTTGGGGCCAGCCTGGTTTACAAGAGCTAGTTCCAGAACAGGCTCCAAAGCAACACAGAGAAACCCTGCCTCGAAATAAATAAACAAACAAACAAACAAACAAACTTTCCAGAACCAGGACAGCTTTTCTCGTCAGCAGTGGGCTCCTTTTGTTGCATTTAAGCCTAAATTGAGAACACAGTCCCGCCTAGCAACTTTGCTTCAACACAAGTAGGAAACAACAGGACTCGGCAGCTGGCCGTGGAATGCTATCAGTGCAATGGAAGAAAGTCCAGAAAACAGGAAAACGGAGGCTGGAGTTCATTCAGTCAACTGAAGGGGACAAAAGAAAATAGTGTTGCTACAGACGGATGTGGTTTTCATAACCAGAGCAGAATGCCAAAGGAAAGAACAAGAAGGCAGTCTTGGGAAGTTGAATATACAATTTCTGAAATCAAACTTGAAGACAAAGAGAGAAAATCACTTAAGGGCATAAAGAAACACACATACATACACACAGGAAAACCTGAAACAGGGCGGGGCATAGGTAGGTGAACCTAGGTAGGAAGATAGAAAGTTCAAGGCCAGCCTAGACACCACCTCAGAATGAAGAGCAGGGTGTGGGGAGGTAGTTCAGCACATAAAATATTTGCCCCGTAAGCATGAGTGCCTGAGATTGATCCCTGGCACTCATATAAAATGCTGTCTGGGAGAAGCACAGACAGGCGGGTCACTGGAGCTCACGGAGCCAACCTAGTGGAATCAGTAAACCCTAGGTCCCAGTGAGCGACCACGTCTCAAAAACCCTGTTCCAGAGGAACAATGCCAAAGGCTGACCTCTGGTTTAGTCTACACAAAGCTAGGGTTCGACTTCACCCACTCCAAAAACAAAACAGTCTAACCTGTGGGCTACAATGCTTGCATATATGTGTGTACCTGCATACACACAAGCACACATCCACCTAGACACACCCACAAGTGACAAAGAAGGCTGGGAGGGTCAGTAGGGGCAAATAAGAACAAAATGTAACACGTATGTCTGAATAAGTCCATAAAAGGGGCGCTAGGAATGTTTCTCAATTGGGAGAGTCCTTTTCTAGCATGCATGAAGCTTTAGGGCTCTATTCCCAGCGCCTCATAAACCAGGTGTACTGGGACACACCTGTAATCCCACGCTGTAGGAGGCCAGAAGATCCTAAAGTCAAGGTCACCCTCAGTTAACGCGGACAGTTGGAGGACACATGAGACCCTGTCTTTAAAAAAAAAAGAAAGACTCAAAAACATGTCACTAATTGAGAAAGCACAGAACTGTCAGGCTGAAGAGGTGGCAATGCCCAGAGAAAAAGCACATCTTCTAGAAAGAACTAGAACAATAAATTATTATTATTTATGTATCAGCTGACCTGATGTTGTTCCTAGCAACAGTTCAAGTGAGACAGACCGCAGAGCCTTCAGGCTCATGGGGAAATGATTTACGCCCCAGAACTGCACATCCGACAAAACTGTTGACCTGGTGTGAACGCTGAATAGACATAGTGCAGGCTTGTAAAAGCTCAGAGATGCAGCCCCTCCACACCCGCTGCCAGAGAATGTTGCAAGGGCTTGTCCTAATCGAGTCAGAGGCCAAGCCAAAGAGGAGGAACCGTGGAAGTACAGACTCCCAGCTGCCAGCCAGGAACCCCGGAAGAAGCAAAGTCAGATGTTGGCGTCTGGAGGAAAGGGGGAGAGCTGGGTGCTGGGGGAAGCTGCCATATCAGGAGACCATAGACTGTGGGGAGAATGTGGGACAATCAGAAGTTCAGAATAATAGTAGGACAGTTTTTACAGACAAGGTCTTACTCTATAGCCTACACTAGCATCAAATCTGCCATCCTCTTGGCTCAGCCTCCCGGGTATAGTATTACAGATATTTTAGATGGGCAATATAATGTCTAGTTTGATTAAGAAGAACCTCCTCAAAAAAAACCTCAGTGGCTCTCAGCATGTGGGTTGAGACCCAGAGGTCTCATAACAGATATTCATAAAATAGCAAATTATAGCTATGAAGTATCATCAAAAATAATTTTATGGTTGGGGGTCATCACAGCATGAAGAACTATATTGAATGGTTGTAGCGTTAGGTCGAGAACCACTCTCTAACTTTTTCTACCAATAAGCAGGTTAGCACAATGACCTCAGTTTCAAAGAAGCTGAGGCTGAAATATCTGACAAACGCATACAATTCTGAAGGGACCAACAGTGTAGAAACCCAGGATCTGAACCGGAAGTCCATGAGGCCACACCGTTATGTTTTTGTGTTTTCAGCACAGGAAGCTGAACCCTAGCTCTGTATATTCCAGGCAAATGCTGTACCCTGAGTAACATCCCCAGCCCCACTAGGACTTTTAAACCAATACAGGGATGACAGGAGAAAATTTAAAAGTGGTTTTTAGCAATCCAGGATGGGCGCGGTGGCATACTTGTATAATCCTCGCACTTGGGTGAGGGGTGCTGGACACTGAGTCCAAGGCCAAGCCAGGCAATCAATGCCTTTGATGTCAGCACTCAGGAGGCAGACTTCAGAGGCACTCGGACAGAGACAGAACTCTGAGTTCAAGGCTAGCCTGCTCTACAGAGTGACTTCCAGGATAGCCAGGACTACACAGAGAAACCCTGTCTTAAAAACTAAACAAGAGTAAAAAGAGTTCAGTGCGGGAGTTGGTGACATGAGACCCTGTCTCCACAACAACAGTTTTGAACTCACACGTGGGAAGAAGTACATAGTCAAGGGCCAAGCAGGTCTAAACAGAGGGTTCGGCCCTTTCTGGGGAAGCATTGTAGACAAAGAGATGCCCCCAGGTTTGGAGACCCAGGGCTCAGACAGCATTCCCACAGTGGCCCAGGGGAGGGATGCTGGACTCATTCAGTGAGGATGCAGACCTGACCACAGTATTTCAGGAGATTTTACCCAAGAAAGAATTGCAGACAAGAAAAACACCACAAAAGAAAATAAGAACGGAGGACAAAGGCGAACTGTTCCTAAAGGGATGTGGCGGACCAGGGTTTAGGCACTCAGGATTCTGCAAGGTACACGGGGTTATGTAAGACCAGTAAACCAGAAGAGAAAATGCCTCAAAGGAGTGACAGGAAGATGGACACGCCAAGCATAGGGGTTCAAGAAGGGACAATAAAACGAGAAATGTAGTTTTCTCTTGTAGGGGTGTGGTGGAGCATGGCTGTAATCTCAGCCTTAAAACAGGCACAGATCATGGTGCAAGCCCGGGCAACTATGGCAGCTATCAAAGTAGGAGGTGCCCATGCCCTCTTGTCTGCCACGCACGGGTTGGGGGGTAGCATGTGTCTGGACACCTAGGATGTCTCCTACCACAAGGTACACGGAGAGTGAGTGGCATTTTTTTGTATAGGGTCCTGGTATTAAGGATTCTTGGGACCTCTTTGCCAAGAGACCATAGAAGTTGGGGAGAAGACATAAATACAGCTCTCTCCAATAGTGAGGTACATTGAAAGCTGCCACTTGACCCAGTCTCCCCAGCAACCATTTGAGGTGCTGTCAACAAGAGGGAAAGTGAGGCCCAGGGGCCCAGGCACCTGACAAAAAAATGACCTTTCTTCTCAAGGTCAGGGGGAAAGAAAGAACCAGGTATTGCCTGGAGCTGGGTAGGCACCAGGGGGACCCTTTCTGGATGCTGTAGCCCTGGCCAGTCAGAATTTGGGCACTTTCAGTAAACTGAGCCCCAAAGGGCAGGTCTGCATAAAGGTAGCAAGAGTAGATGTGCCAGCAAGCTAGATAACAAAGAAACTGTCTTGTACTAGCCCCTTTGGGACTCCTCTCTGGGTCAGGAACCCCGGTATCTTTTAATGCCTCTATCTAACCAATACAGCAACAGCCAGTGTGGGATCATCTGTGCTATCTATTCTGAAAGGGAATGGAGTGGTTACTCATTGAACACTGGGAGTTATAAACAGGACTCTCAGTCTTAATTACCCGGACCAAAGGCCTCTGTCCTTTCTCCTGACGGGCACAGCAGCTCCATCTGGCTCTTAGACAGGTTTTTGTTTTTTCCCTCTGTGTATAGGCCAGAACAGAGTTGCCAAGGCAGCTGTGGAAGCAGATCTCTGGGGACATGGCAATGTCGATTATCTGGTGGTTCTGGTCTCTACTGGCCATCTGTGTATCCGACACATTCCGAGAGAAGGCAGAGGAAATCATGAAGACCACACCGGTCATCGATGGGTGAGTGGCTACCTATTGAAGTGCCTGCAAGGGCCAGAAGCTTCCAGACCTCTGCTAGGAGGCTCAGTCCCATCCCCCCCCCCCCCCCCCATACCATGGTTCTTATCTCCTTCTGGCCTTGGCTCTTTGATGGAGAATCTTAGGACCTGGAAGGTTTCAGGAAAAGAGGGAAGGAGATAGCATCCCAGCACCTGGCTCCCAGGGCTCCCAAAGCTCAGAGTTTGGTTGCATCTGCGAATTCTGAGGTCTCCCAACTCTTTAGTCATATATCTGAGGGAGAGATCCAAGTCCCTACCTGGATCTCAGCTGAAAAGCTGAGGTGCGGGTGGCTTTACCCCAAGAAATGTTGAACCCTGAAGTCCAATCACTGAGGAGGAGTCACCCCAAGAGACCACCCTCACACCACAGTTGATGTAAAAGCAAGAGGATTTAATTAATTCTGTCATGACAGGGTCACTCAGCATTCAAGCCAAGGACCCCGAATAGCTGGTGCAGGCTACTTTTAAAGTAAAAAAGCCACAGAAACAAGGGGGGGGGACATCTGTGAGTCATCCTAACCATATCTGAGGAACTGAGTCAATATTTGTGGGTTATCTTGCCCCAATTTCAATAACTGAGTTCTCTCTGGAGAACATCCACAAGGAGACAGGGAGATGGAAAATCCCCAACATTTCTGTATGTGCATGTGAAGTTGTTAGGTTCTTGGTTCCCAAGGGAGGGGGGAGCACTATTGCAGGGAGGCCTCAGAAATGGCCTCAGAGTTGTCAAAAATGGCTTCAGAGTTATCCTAGAGTTTTACAGAAGGTCCTCTTGAGCATCCTTCTGTCTCTCCCCCATCTTGTGCCCAACTGAGAATCAAATACCTCAGTGCCTCTCTTTTCCTTTGTGGAGATCACAGTGCATGTGGGGGGTGTCTCGTACATTCAGCTCACACTGCCTGATCCCTCTGACCTTGCTAGAATACTGGAAGGTCTTTGCCAGCTCCTTCCCACCCTTTCTTTCCTGGCCGAAGCAAGGCCAGTCTTCCAGCTCTCTCATCTGCCTGCTGCTGCTGGCCAATCTGTCTCTCACTGGGTTCTCGTGGAAGTCTCTACTGGACCTCCTCCCACCAGCACCCTCGATCCCTGAGGCTTAAGGAGCTTTGCACTGCAGTTTGACCTGGCAGAGGTGGCTCCGTTCCCTCGGAAGACAGGAGTCTTGTGGTCCTATTTCGTCTTCCCAAAGAGGGTGGAGGGAGAATGAGGACAAGTATGGCAGGGGGCTCCTGAGGCATCTAGGACTCCGTTCAAGTGCTCCACCTCTCCCCAGTACCCACAGTGGAGATGAGTTTCTTAGATAGACTGTAAGTGTACTCAGACAAAAGATTAAAGTCCCTTTCCTGGAGCCTACCTAGCCTTGCCTCAGAGAGCTGCCAAGGTTGCCTTGGCTGGTTCATACCCATTCATTTATCCATTCAGTTAGTGTATCGTGATAGATCTGTGCCAAGTGGAAAGGGTGGGGTAAGAGGGATGAGTTCAGTCCAGTTCATTCATGGACATCTTCTGGGTGTGAGTTCACATACAGGGACGGAAGCTTATGTGTCTCTTTGCTGGGGGGTGACTTGGGCACCAGTCCTAGGAAGGGGCACATCCTCTGAGCTTTCCAAAGGAGCTTCCTGGACTGACTAGCTTTGGGGAAGTCATTACTGGGAGCAGATGGAGTCAGGGTGAAGGAGAACTGATAGGCAGGTGACCTGGTACATGGACTCAACAAACCTGAGGCAGCTGTCATATAATGTGGGTGTACGTACTTCCCATTGTAACTCCAGCACTTGGGAGGCTGAGGCTAAAGGGTCACTCACTGCAGGCTTAAGGCCAAGGCTACACTGGATTTTATGAAACACTCATGTTTCATAATAGAAGGACCCTATTTAAAAACAAAAAACAACTCAGCTGGGCGGTGTGGCGCACACCTTTAATCCCAGCACTCAGGAGGCAGAGGCAGGCAGATCTCTGTGAGTTCAGGGCCAGCCTGGTCTACAAGAGCTAGTTCCAGGACAGGCACCAAAGCTACAGAGAAACCCTGTCTGAAAGAAAGAAAGAAAGAAAGAAAGAAAGAAAGAAAGAGAAAGAAAGAAAGAGGGATGGAGGGAGGGAGGGAGGGAGGGAAGGACGGAGGGAGGGAGGGAAAGAAGGAAGGAAGGAAAGAAAGAAAGAAAGAAAGAAAAAGTGTCATCTTCCTATAAGGTGCCTGCTCCTACATTGGTTTCCAGCCCCCCCCAGGCCCAGGTGATTTTGCAGCATAGCAGGGGTTTACCCTTGTGCGGGGGAGGGGGGTAGATGAGGGGCATAAGAAGCCCGGTCTAGCCGTACTCAGCTCATGGTCCCTTGACTAGGAGTGCAATTAAGGAATTTCACCCATGTGCAGGTGTGTTCCATTCAGAGGCATTCCACCTCAGAGGCCTGCTTGTTAGTCTTACTTAAACTGTAGGATTTTGAGCTGGAGAAGGGCAGTCTGCAAACCAGTTGGTTCTGAATTCCTAATCCACCTTGAACACTCCCCACCCCCGTTCCCTCCAGGCACAACGACCTACCTTGGCAACTCCTGAAGTTGTTCAACAACAGGCTGAATGTTTCAAAGGCCGACTTGAACACACTGACTGAAACACACACCAACATCCCCAAGCTGAAGGCTGGCTTTGTGGGGGGGCAGGTACATCCTCTGGTCTCCCGTTCGTTCTGCACTTGGGTCTCCCCTATACTCCCCGTGGGCCTGCCTTAGAGAAGCATGCCTCCTGGGCACCTGGGCCCCAGGCCTTGGAAGGGCACACCTGTCTGAACCAGCCCCCCGGGGCTTCTGAAAGGGCAGGAGAACAGACCCATGTATACACTGGGGTGGACTCAGAAATCAGCGGTCTGGGCCATCCACTCTTCCCCTTGGCCCCCAGTTCTGGTCCGCGTACTTGCCTTGTGACACCCAAAACAAAGACGCCGTGAAGAGGATATTGGAACAGATGGATGTCATACACCGCATGTGCCAACGATATCCTGAGACCTTCTCGTGTGTCACCAGCAGCTCAGGTAGTGTCCCATCAAGGCACTAACATCCCCCTGCCAGGCTCGGTCTTGAGTAGAGGGTGGGACTTTGAATCCTGAATGTTTAGTGCCAACCCTCTCCTTGGTTCTTTGTAGGTATCCGACAGGCTTTCGGAGAGGGGAAGGTGGCCAGTCTGATTGGCGTAGAAGGTGGTCACTTAATCGACAGCAGCCTGGGCGTCCTGCGGGCACTCTACCATCTGGGTATGCGGTATCTGACCCTCACCCACAACTGCAACACACCCTGGTAAGGGGTCCTGCTGTGAAGCCCCTGGGATGTGGTCAGACAAGGAAGCCAAACGTGTGACCTCTGTCGTACCCAGAACTCTCCCGAGCTCCAGGCCAGGCCTTGTCGGCTAGGCAGGTGAGGGCGACACTTCTCTCTGCCCCCTGGAAAAACACCCGTGTGTTTCTCTTCAGGGCCGACAACTGGATGGTGGACAAGGGAGATGACAAGGCTGAGAGCGAGGGACTGTCAGTCTTTGGGAAGGTGAGGGGGGAAGTGTCACGCCTCAGTGGACTTTGGTATCCTCCTCAGTCACATGGAGCTGACAGTCCTTGTTTCCAGGGTTGAGTATGTTGGAACCCCTGAGCGTTTAAATTGCTGAGTCCTGAGTACCCCACAATCTCTAGCCACTAAAGGGTTAATTCACACCTATCTAGCGCTGCCTCTCCCATGCCCCAAGTTCCCAGTGTCTGTGAGATGTACCCAATCCTGTCCCCCCTCCCCCAGAGAGTGCTGAAGGAGATGAACCGCCTGGGTGTCATGATTGACTTGTCTCATGTGTCCGTGGCGACCATGAAGGACGCTTTGGAGTATTCCGAGGCCCCGGTCATCTTCAGCCACTCCTCAGCCTACAGCCTGTGTGATCACAGGCGGAATGTACCTGATGACGTGCTCCAGCTGGTGGTAAGGAATTCGAAGAGGGAAGAGGAGCCCCTTGTCTTCTGTGGGTCCTCTCCAACCTTCACCCCCACCCCTCTCTGAGCAGAAGAGCAAAAGGAGTCTGGTGATGGTGAACTTCTACAGTTACTTTGTGTCCTGCTCAAAGGATGCCACCCTGTCCCAAGTGGCTGGTAAGTGGACATGACCACACAGTGACCAAGTGGGGGAGGGCCTCGCTTAAGACCCACACCTGCTACTCCCTACAGACCACCTGGACTACATCAAGAAGGTGGCAGGCGCTGAGGCTGTGGGCCTTGGAGGGGACTATGATGGCGTTACAGAGTAAGAGCGACATCTTGTTTTCTGATGGAGTTATGATCCTACTGACATGTGCTGATGGGACAGGGGAGGGAGAGTGTCCTTAGCACAGTGCAGGGCATTTTTGCTGCAAGCCTACTCTTCTGGCCTTCGTATGCCTGGAGAGTATCCTGTCTGCAATGCCTGGGACTCTTGGTCTTGGTGTAGGCTTCCTGCGGGACTGGAGGATGTTTCCAAGTACCCGGATCTGATAGCGGAGCTTCTGAGGAGGAACTGGACAGAGACGGAAGTCAGAGGTGTACTATCTGAAAACCTGCTGCGGGTCTTCTCTGAAGTGGAACTGGTGAGACAAAGGGGCCATTTGGGTCCTGCCCTTTGCCCACCCAGGCAGGCTGCCTAACTTGGGTCTGTCTCCAGGCAAGCAATAACATGCAAGTTCCGGAGGAAGAACCTATCCAACTGGATGAGCTGGGTGGATCCTGCAGGACCGACTATGGCTACTCACAAGCCCCCAGCACCCACCTCCAGATTGGGGCTCTGCTGGCCTTCCTGGTTCCTTTGCTCTTCAGTCTGAATCTCCTGTGACATCCTAAGGACCAGCACCTCTTTCAGTGCTCTCAGAGCTCAGGGAAGACTAGACAACCCAAGAGCACATGTTGTCCATGCAAAAACACACCCTCTCCCAAACAAGCAGTGTGCTGACCCGGGGACAGTTCAGGACACATGCAAGCAATAAATCCCTTTAAGCACAGAGTATGTATGTTGTCAGTACCCCAGCCCTGGGAGGGACTTCCGAGCATCTGGAGAGCAGATTTTGAGAATGGTCCCATGTGAACAGGGACACAGGAACAGCTGAGTTCTTGGAGGGGAGGTCTAGAAGGAACCCAGATGTCTGCAAAATGTCTCACGTGGGCATTGGCTAGTTTAAAAACCCATGGTTTAGGCTTCAGTGGCTACCTCCCTGCAGCACTAACCCATGTACATAACACCCCTAAACATGTACCCATGTGCACACAGCCATACACATACATACAGCACTCAGATGCACATATATATTACACATGGGACATGTACTCTGACACCATATGAGAGTCACACATATGGGAAGGGAGCCAGGAGCCTTGGAGAGCAGATCCAGATGGGATGGGTTCCTGGACTCTCCAAGGCTCTCACTCAGCTAACAGCAGGTCTTTCCAGTTTCACAGAGGTGGTCTCGCGTGACTGCTAGCAAACAGGGGATCAGGACATTCAAGGATGCGTCTCGTGAATAACCTTGTGAGGGACAGCATGGAGCAGTCCTGCTGAGTGGCCAAGGACTCCTTTCTGGTCTATACTCCTGAGACACTTCTCATGGACACGGGCAAGGACTTCTTTGTCGAGAGCCTGTCCCTACCTGCTGAGAGGGACCCACAAAGGGTGAAGGATATCACTGCCTGAGTGTATGAAGCCCCATGGCCATCTGTCTCTGTCCCTTTCAGATCTACCTTCTCTGAAAAAGAGCTGGGTAGACGATAACCACAGGGCCATCCACCTGGCTTTAAAGTTTTCACTTTTTGAAATAAGCTCTCATGTATGGTGGTCCTCTGACTCACTGTGCAGCCATGGGATGATCTTGAACTTCTGAATCTCCTGCCTTCGCCTCGCAAGTACTCCAATTACAGGTACAGACCACCTCACTTGGTTTTTATATAGTGATGAGGATCACACCTGGGACTTGGTGCATGCTAAGCAAACATGCTACCAACTGTCCCCAGCCTCTGGTTGGCTTTTAGAATCCTCCATGTGCCAGGCTACCAAGGAATGCAATGATAGGGGCCTGCCCACACCCAAGTGTGTGGATGTTAGCACAAAACGAGAGTTGGTCATGTCCCTGTGTCTGTCACAACATGTCCCACCAAGCAGCATCCTTCTCAAGTCTGGTCTAAATGCCTTAGGGAACATCTGTGGCTATGTAGGATCAATGCAGAGGGGGAAATGCTTAGTACAGGATTCTGTGCCCATTATCTGGCTAAAGCTGTGGGAAAGGTCCCCCTGGTGTATTTCCGGTGTATTACACCACATTTTGTCAGCTGGAAAGTAAAGTCACAGAGCTCCTAAAATAATCCTAGACCCAAGTATAGTGTTACATATTATACATTATATATATATACTGTAATGTATACAAAATATACATTACAAAGTATACAAGTATAGTGTTACAGACCTATAACCCTGGCTCTCAGAGGGCTGAGCCAAGAAGATCAGTAACTTGAGATCAGTCCAGGCTACAGGGAAAGACTCTGAACAGTTCTTGCTGCTTCTGCAACTGACTATATGAATATTTTAAAAATAAAAGAATAAAAAAGTTATAATTCTAATTATTATAGTCCAGTATAAGAAATGCACACGGATTAAGAAAATAGGGAGAATACATGGAGTAGGAGGGGTGAGTGCACAATAACACTGACCGTGAACACCAGCAGAAAAGGGCAGGGTTATACAAGTTACACTAGGAGATGTGAGTGTAACCTCCTGCTGTAGAAAGCTTATTTCCACATGAGTAAGCGGGAATATAAAACGTAGGGCTTGGGAGAAGCTGGGAGCACTGGCTGCTCTTCCAGAGAATCCCAGCATCTGTATGACAGCTCACAGCTGTCTCTAACTCCAGTTCAGGGGGATCTCTGGCTCTTTTCTGGCTTCTGCAGACACTGCACTGGCAAAATAACCATACACATAAAATGTTTAAAATTTTTAAGGGCGGTGGGGTGGAACTCGGTAGTGCACTTTTTTTCTTTTTCTTTTTTTTTTTTTTTAAAGATTTATTTATTTATTATGTATACAACATTCCTTCCATGTATGTTTGTATGCCAGAAGAGGGCACCAGATCTCATTATAGATGGTTGTGAGCCACCATGTGGTTGCTGGGAATTGAACTCAGGACCTCTGGAAGAGCAATCAGTGCTCTTAACCTCTGAGCCATCTCTCCAGCCCCCACGGTAGTGCACTTTTAATCTTGACACTGAAGAGGCAGAGGTAGATGGATCATTGTAAATTTTGGCCAGGCTGGTTGGTGTAAATAGTGAGTTCCAGGCCAGCTGTGACTAGAGAGACCCTGTCTCAAACAAAACAAAATTCACTTCAGGGTCACTTGGTGTTCCGCATTACAAAGTTGATGATGGGGCAAGGACCAAGGCACATTCTAACCATGGGGCCCCAGGCTTCTTGAAATCAACGTGCGTGACAGGTGTTGAGAGTAGCTGAATTCTCTCAGAAACAACTTGTGAGCTCCCTGAGTCCTGGACACCAAGGAGTCATCTTGTGAGTTCAAGGCCATCATGATCTCCCTGGTGAGTTTTGGGACAGCGAGAGCTACATACTGATACCCCGTGTCAAAGAAAAGCATTTCAAGGAACGGATAAGGACGAAAGCTAGGCTCTTACAGTGTTAATAATATACAGTCCTGATGTTGTCACAGACTCACGGTCATGCATTTTGTCAGCCACTCATGCTGCTTGAAGTTTCAGTGTGACCAGCATCAGTTTGTTTGCTGTGTGCGTGAGTTCAGAGGTTAACTTTGTATTGTGATCAGTTGCCTTCCTTGATCACATTCCAACTTTCCATTTTTATTTATGCATTTTATGTATATGGGTGTTTTCCTTGCATGTATATTAGGAGAAAGCATCAAATCCCATGAGCTACAGTTATAGATGATTGGGAGCCACCACGTGGGCTCTGGGAATTGAGCTCAAGACCTTTGGAAAAGTAGCCAGTGCTGTTAACTTCTGAGCCACCACTATACCTTTTGAGCCATGGTCTCAACCGAATCTGGACTCACCAATTCAGGATTTAACTAGCCCACGGGCATGTGTGCTCCAGGGATCTACTGACTATTCTGGAACTCTATGGATCTGGCTGGCCTGTAACTCAGAGATTGACCTTCCTCTGCCTGCCGAGTGGGATCAAAGGCTTGCCCCGCCATGGCCCAGGTCAAGCCTGACTTCTGGGAATGCAAACTCGTTTGTTCATGTTCGTACAGCATGCACTCTGGAGTCATCCTCCAGGCCCCCAGTCAGTTCCTAAGCACGGTTCCTCTCTAAAATGAATCGGGGGTGACTGGACGTCAAGGCAGAGAAGCCAAAAGGAGCCTGTGGACCCTGCAGGGATGGGGAAGCTGGGAAGCAGGATGTGCTGAGACCCAAGACAGCAGGTTCAAGGGGCTCAGAAGCCAAAAGGAAGCCTCTCAAACAATAACCTTTCTATCAATACTTTAAAATAAATCTTAAACTTGATTCTGATTCCACTATTCCACTACGTGTGGCCTGAGAATCTTCATTCACCCATGCCTCCCCTCTCCCTCAGGAACCAGGCCTCCAGGGACACCATTCCCCTCCCCATTTCTGAATTCATCCTGAGGTGGGGCACTGGATAATCCACATAGGGTCGAACCCACAGTTCATCAGCCCCACCCAAGACATCACAGCAAAGCTTGAGAAATTCTCCAACAATCAATGTATTTATTTACAACAGCATTTTGAAGGCAGATACACCCATTTGGATGAACCCGGCCCAGCATCTTGAAATCTACTAGTGTTCCAAAAATCCTGCAGCCTCCAGGACTCAGGGAGCTCACAAGTTGTTCCGAGAGAATGCAGTTACACTCAACACCTGTCATGCAGGTTGATTTCAGGAAGCCTGAGGGGCCCATGGTTAGACTGTACCTTGGTCCCCGCCCCCAACACAAGCTTTGTAATGTGGAACACTGAGGACCCCGAAATGCAGAACAGGAAGAAACAAACACAGCAAGTCAAGGTGAGGTATCCGAGCTTGAGTGTAACCCTGCAGGCAGTACTGCCCTGCTCAGCCTGTGACGAGGGCTGGACAAACACACCCCATCTGCTGTGTGCCTTCCACTTTGGCAAAGGAACAAAATCACCAGGAGGTTTAAGAACAGGAGTAAACTTCAGAAGAGAAATACAGCAGCGGCCTATGCACACAGCCTAGGGCCGCCCCAGGCATTCTCACTGCCCTCTCCCTGCCAGCTTCCCACTGCAAAAGGGTGTAGAAGAGCTGACCGCAGCCAAAGGTTACTATCCCGGTTTCCCTTGGTAGACACCCTGACTTTCCCCTGGAGAAGGCAGAAGGGCAGCCTTCTGTATGTAAAAGAACAGAAGAGTCAGAGGACCTCACATTCAAGAGTGAGAAGTTTTAAAAGGCCTGAAAGGCTGTGATTTGGAGGCCTGGAGCCATCACACAGACCGTGCAGCCCAAGTGGCCCCAAGCCCTTCCAGAGGCAGCTGCTGAGGAAGGGTAAGCATCTCTAGGGAGGAAACACCTGGACTTGAGATTGGATGACAGTTCTGTAGGCTGGGAAGGGAGCTGAGGGGCAGAAAGCCCTGGCCGACTCAGCCGGCTGGCAGTGGCAGCCAAGGAACAAACTCAGCCCTGGGAACATGGAGGAGAGGAACCACCTGTAAGGCCCCAGCCAGTGTTGGTGGCAATGGACATCTCTGGTACACAAAAGTCCACAGGAACCTACTCAGGGCTGTCACTCAACAGGATTTCCTGTCTGCAGAGGTCAGGGAGAGGCTCCCAGGAACTACCTGGCATAGGACTCGCTCTGATCTTCACTGGCCACAGCAAGCAGCAGGTGTGTGTTCACTGGAAACTGAAGGCCCTGAAGCACTGGGCTGAAGTCCACACATCTGCTGGTCAAACCCTGTCAACTCCACATTGGCAGAGGACAACACAGAGCTTGCCATCTTCCAGATGTGGCCCACAAAGTCACATGAGTCACCCACACTTGTGCAAATTCAGTATCAGGACAGAGGCCCACTGCCCAACCTACGGCTCAGTTCTAAGGCGCCCAGCCTGGCAGGTTGGAAAAGAGCCAAGGCAGCTATGAAGGGTTGGAGAAAGTCAAGTGCAGAGCGGGGCAGAAGGGAGGCGACACCTGCCAAGGGCATGCTAATTCCTCAGGGCAGCCAACCTGGAAAACAACAAAAGGGATTATGGTAAGAAAGGCATGGCAGGCAGTGATTGCACACACCTTTAATCCCCGCATTTGGGAGGCAGATGCAGGTGGATCTCTGTGAGTTTCAAGACCAACCTGGTCCACAGAGTTTCAGGACAGACAGAGCTACACAGAAAAACCCTGTCTAATAAACAAAAGGGGAGGGGCAGCAAAGGGCAGAGGTACTTGAAAACTTGAAATACTGTGTAGAGCACTAGACATGAACCCAGAATTGAGGTTTTCAAAGTTGTCCTGGGATAACATGTGGAAAGATGCTGAGACGGCTACACACTGTGACAATCTCAGGAAGGGCACACAACCCCCTTCTACAGTGAGCTGTGTGGAGATACATCTGTAATCACACATCCGGTACTAACTGCTGGCTACGGGGGACTGACTGCAGCATTCTGATGCAAGGGGGAACTGTTCAAGCTGAGACAGGGGTCTTCCCTCCACCTTCCCAACAGTCCAATCAAATGTGATGGGTCTTTGTGTGATTGGGTTCCAGCCCACAAAGTCCTTAGGGTCCCCAACATGGCCCCAAGACAGGACACCAGAGCAAGTACTATGACATTCACCGAGGCATGTCCTACCTTCGAGACAGCTGGTCCTCCTGGCTGCGCACTGAGCTCTCGCCCACAGCAGAGGCGCCCTCTGGAAGCTGGCTGAGCTGGTCTAAGACCTCTAGGCCATTTTCCTCAGCAATCTGCACAATGAGGCTGTCGACCTGCTCCTGAGGTGTGGTCAGTGTGGTGGCAGAGCTCATAGAATCCTCCATTACCTACGGAGAGGTTCATTTTGGGCAGGATGGCCAGAGCACCATGATGCTCACTGCAATTGCTTTGTTGTGGATATGTGTGGTGTACACATGCACATGTGTATGTGCTCATGTGAAGGCCAGAGGCTAACATCAACTGTCTTCTCGATACTGTGTCCTACAAGGTGTCTCAAGGAACCTAGTGTTCACTGCTTCAGCCATGTTGGTTGGGTGGCAAAGCCGAGGATTTCATTTGTATTTGGCCCCAGCACTAAGACCCCTACACACCCAGCTTTCATGTGGTTGCCAAGAGCACAAACTTATGCCCTCGGGCTTGCACAAGTGACACTTCACCTGCCGGGCCATCTCCCTAACCTCCACTGTGGTTCTTGCCCACTCCCACTGCTTCTCACAGGGTTCTCTCTAAGAAGATGTTTCTGGCTCCCTTGGACCTTCCTGTCCCATATCCAGGCAGTCCCGCTCCTGGGTTCACCTGGTTCTGTGACACTTTCATATTCCTGTGTGCTTGTCTATACCATGTGTGCCTCCCCAGAAAGGGCAGTGTCCCATCCCCTTCCTTCTCCAAGGCCTTCCTGAGTCTAGCACAGTCCAGCCACCCTGACCCACTGCCCAGCCATACTGCAATGGCCACCTACCGACGTGTGCACATCCAGGTTCTGCACCTGCTGCTCAAACCTGTCCATCACTGCAGACACCTTTTGAAGATCCATGGCACTCAGCGCCTTGTCCAGAGCTTTGGTCACCTGTGCCATATTCTTGGTCACCTGGTATAGAAGAGAATTAGAGACAAGGACAAAGTTAAAGATAGTTTAGGGCTGCAAACTGGGGGCAGGTCATCAGGACTTTCTGATGGGAACCCAGGGTCTCAGCACAGTCACTGGATGCAGCTGATGACACAGTGAAGTTCTATGAGTCTCTCTACTTTGCAGGGCATCTCTGCTGTGACCAAGCGGCCCATGTAACTCCAAGTCTATGGTAGGATGCTATGAAATCCAGGCTTTCCTGAGGCCTTCCTGTGTGCAGTACTCCTTGAAGCCTAGGCTCACTGCTGGTTCAGCTTCCCTCTGCTCACTGTACCCTACAACACATGCTGGCCACATGGCACCATGATCAGGCACTTACCCCCTTCATGGTCACAGCTGTCTGTACCTTGGATGCTACTGCATCCACACGGGACGCCATGCGGAGCCAGTTTACACCTTCATTCTTCTTGCGGATTGCATTTTCAGCATACACACGGGCACACTCCACGTTTTTCTGCTGAAGGGCCTAAGATTCATAGGGAAATGTTCACTGAGGACAATTCGTAAGTAAGCTTGTGTATCCCTCCAGGGTAAGGTTTACCACTGGGGAGTGTTGCACAAAAAGGAGACATTACAGCAACACAAAGGGAAACAAAGCTGGCTGTGGTGGTTCCTGCCTGAAATCCTACCAATCTTAAGGGTGAAGTAGCAACATTTCAAGTTTGATGTTAACTGGAACACAGAGTAAGTTCCAGATCCACCTGGGTCACAGTACTCAATCTCAAAAATAACATAAATGAAGTAAAATAAAATAAAGGGGATTGGGGAAGAAGAACCCAAACCAGAAATGTTACACACCTTCTTCACCTTGGCCTGCTCAGCCTTGGAGTCCTTCTCTGCCTTCTTGGCCAGTCTCTCTAGCTGCTTCGCTGTGAACTGAGTGGAAAGGACGACATCCTGAGATTCGCAGGTGGAGCTCACCCTCTAGGCCCTGCTCCCTGTACCTCCTGCCTCTGCGCATCCTTCACCCAGGGATGAGGCACAAAGCATCAAAACCTGAGTCCTGACAACTCCTGTGGGCTGTGGGAGACTGTAACAGCATCAGGAAAGATCCCCACCAGTGAGCAAGGAGGCGGCTACAGTGGGCATCCTAAAATGTCCATCATCTAGAAAACCCCAACCCATATTCTCCTCTAGAGTGGAAGGCCGGCAAGGAAACTCTCACCAATGCTGCCCCTGCTTATGAAAGACTTTGAACTCACAGAAAGTCACCTGGGAACCTTCTCCAGGCTATCCAAGTAGTAAATCTTGAACGCTATCTTTAGAGAATTCGGCATATACAGCTTCCTCATTTCTTTGCCAACAAGAGAAAATGATGTCATACCCACCCCTCTGGCCACATATTCCAAGGGCTGGAGACCAGGTCCTGGCCACTAGTAAACGAGGCCCGAACACTGACCCCCTTTACGGCATCAGACCACTACCCGACAGCCTCAGAGTGACACAAACTCTGTAACCTTACTCATGCCCAGACCCTTGGCGCCAGGGAGAAAAAAAGAAGATAAAGTTAACCCTTAGTATCGTTTGCAAGGCATTTAAAAGTGGCAGAAACATGCCATGGATTATTAGTTATATCCAAGTATCTCCCCAGTTGGAGGCACATTCAGTCGCCTATAACACTCTCCAAGTGTTTAAATTTCAGCGTGTGGTTTTAAAAGCTTAGTAAAACACCAAGGCATGTCCTTATCACCCCAATTGTGTTTCTTATAGATAACACACTCAGTCTTCATGGACAAGTCTAAGTGATCTATTTCTACTTAGCCAAAATCAAAGAATGATCTTGGCTCTGGGAAGCAGTCTGAGCCCTGTAGGGCAGTCGTTCAACCATGATAATCTGCCCATGACTCTGGGTGTCTGGGTTCCAAGCGCCGCTGTAATTCTTTCCTTGTTTGCTAGGACAGGACTGAAGAATGGTGGTCTTGTACAAACCTTCAACTGGAACAGGGTATCTGCAAAGACAGAAAAAAAATACATTTAAAAAAATTGTAGCAAGTAGCACATCTATCAAGCAAGCGGACTCTGTGAGATCCTTGCAGATGCTAGGAGCTGGCCCACAGGAGACAGACACAGATGGGATTTGCCTGGGGCATTTGGAAGGCCCAGTAATGGAGTCAGAAAGTAGATCCATGTTAGACAGGGGCTCCAAACCAACAAAGACCCTCACTAAACTTGTTTTCGGGAACACAAGACTGTACCAGCCTATCTCAAAATGCAGCTCTTGGCCATGATCAGAATGGAGATGGTGGCTTACATTTCTTTCAGCTTTACAAAAGACACATGGGTGCCAGGCGATGGTGGCGCACACCTTTAATCCCAGCACTCGGGAGGCAGAGGCAGGCGGACCTCTGTGAGTTCGAGGCCAGCCTGGTCTATGGAGCTAGTTCCAGGACAGGCTCCAAAGCCACAGAAAAACCCTGTCTCGAAAAACCAAAAAAAAAAAAAAAAAAAAAACCAAAAAACCCCCCAAAAACCAAAAGACACTTTGCCTTTACTACTAAACTTAGTCTTTAGCACTTAACAGCTGTTCTTTTTAATGCCTTTATTGGCATTTTTATTTTATTTTATTTTTTTTTGATTTTTCGAGACAGGGTTTCTCCGTAGCTTTTGGTTCCTGTCCTGGAACTAGCTCTTGTAGACCAGGCTGGCCTCGAACTCACAGAGATCCGCCTGCCTCTGCCTCCCGAGTGCTGGGATTATAGGCGTACGCCACCACCGCCTGGCTCTTTATTGGCATTTTTAAAAAAGATGTATCTACTTTTTTTTTTTTTTTGAGTGCTCTATCTGCGTGTACAACTTTCTGCCAGAAGAGGGCATCAGATGCCACTACAGATGGTTGTGAGCCACAATACGTTGCTAGCAACTGAACTCTGGACCTCTGAAAGAGCAGCCAGTGCTCTTAGGGCCGAACCATCTCTCCAGCCCGCAGCAGTTGAAGATAAAACTGGTAAGGCGGTAAGCCTTAGGTCATCATGACAGATGTCATTTCTAAGTCACAGCATCAGGCCCAGCCCATTGTCCCTTTACCCATAGTAAGCCAAGGAGGGAATTTAAATATATTTTTAAAAACTAATTGCTAACCAAACCTGCTATTAATTCACAAACTTGAGACAGGTAAACACAATTTCTTGTTTATTTATTTTTGATGTTTTGAGACAGGATTTCACCTCAAACTCCCTAGGCAGTCAAAACTGGGGATCCTTCTGTCTCCAGCGCCTAAGAGCTGGCATTGCAGTTGTGAGCCACTCTGCAGAATGCTGTGGTATTTGATTCCTGAAACAGCTTACCCTACCAGTCCAAAATAAGGCACTGATGGTCTGTAAATGCAAAACAAGGCCCAACAGAGACCTGCCTGGGCATAGTGAACTGTGGACCTACCCATCTACCACCACTCAGTGCAGGACTAGCTATGGCCAGGGCTGCCACAACTGACTGGTACTCTCGGAAACAAAAGTCGCCTGGCACAGTGACAGGAGAAACAGTGTCTCCCAGGCGTGGCACAGCTCTCTCACTAGCTTTAGCACCCTGGCCAAATCTCTCCCATCTCAACCTGTATTTTCATCTCGACTCTAATGGGGCTGGAGAAACCTGATGTGAGCTTCAGGAAAGTTCCCTCACCAGAGCACAGTGAACTGTGATGCAAAAATTCTTTTTTTTTTTATTTTATTTTATTTATTATGTATACAACTTTCTGCCTCCATGTATACCCACACGCCAGAGGAGGGCGCCAGATCTCATTACAGATGGTAGTGAGCTACCATGTGGTTGCTGGGAATTGAACTCAGGACCTCTGGAAGAGCAGACAGTGCTCTTAACCACTGAGCCATCTCTCCAGCCCGCAAAAATTCTTTTTTGCTGAGACATCAGGGTGCTACCTCTTCTGTCCAAGGAACACAGTAAAGAATTCTTACGTTTCCTCCATGACAATCACACAGCTTTCTGCGTTTCAGAAAACAGTTTGTAAAAACTTCATTATGGCTGTTCACAACTTCATTGCCAGCACTGGGGAGGCAGAGACAGGCAAATCTCTGAGTTCAAGGCCAGTCTGGTACTTGCAGTCACATGCAGGCCAGCCAAGGCGACATAGGGAGACCCCGTCTCATACAAACACAAACTCTATCACACCAGCCCATAAAACCTGCAACGTCCACTCAGGAGTTCTTCGGAACTCTGACAGATGGAAGTGAGTCATACTTCTAGGGGTGGCTCCCACCCACCCTGTTACAGGGTAAGGGGAGAATAGGACATGCAGCGCCTATAAAATGGAGCTACTAGGACGGAACCCACATCCTACCACTTGGTATTTGAAGTCCTTTGTATCTGAATTATTACTATTTCTCTGGGTACTACTCAGGGGTCAAAATATGCAACCAGCACCTTTTCTGGTCCCTGAACATTCCGGAGTCCCCAAGGCAGAAACAAAACAAACAGGGAGGATGGCTAGAAGGGCCTGGATCTGAGGTCATTTGGATAAAATTCGGGGTTTCGGTCGTGGGTTTGGGGTCCAGTCCTGGAGAGATCTGGGTAAGGAACGAGATCCAGGGGTAGTTCCTGGCTGGGGTCTGGTGTCAAGAACCCGAGGTAGCTCTCGTTGGTCTGAGGGATGGAAGCCCAGGAGAGGGTTTCAGCTAGGATGTAAAGGCTCAGGAACCGAAACCGGTTCTGGTCGATATGCCGGAGTTAGGCCCAGGTCTAATCGGTGTTTGGACCTAAGGCAAGAGGCGGGTCCTGGTCGCGAGGTAGGGTCGAGACGAAAGGATCCCAGGCCCAGGGGCGGGGTCTGGGGCTGAGGCCGGGGCTAGGTCCTCTCGGGTTATGGGGCTGAGGCCGGGGTGTCCGCAGAATCCCGCTCCGAACCCTAAGTAGGAGACGGCCCCTTACCGTCCATGGCCAATCAGGTAGTGAAGCCCTCTGGGCGGCGAAGGGGACGAGATCTTATGGACCAGCTGTGCCCGGGAGGACTTCCGGGGTCGCTTGCGTTTCCGGTCGTGCGGCCGGCTCTCGCGAGAAGACGGCACCGGTCCTTGGGTGGGGCTTTGGCACGTCTCCTAGGGCACGCGGTTGCCATGGTAATGAACGCCCAAAGGGGCGTGTTGGTTTGTGAGTCGCTAGGGTTACTGGGCCTCAAGGCCCCCTGGCCGGGGCGGCGGGTTCACCTATGGGCCAGTCCAAAAGCAAACCCAGAGAGAAGACAGGTAAAGGGCGCCGCCTGGTGACCAGGCCCGCCCTCCGAGCAGGCATCCTTGGGTTGTAGGTCTAACTGATTATCCATGTGTTTCAGTTGAGGAGGAAAAGACGGTCCCTACCAATTTTGTTGCAAAATCTAAGGAGAAAGCAATGGAAAAGGAGTCGAAGCAGCTTGACAAGGAAGGCTTGAATCAACCTGCCGACAGCCTACTGCTCGCGGCAGGGACGTCCAAGCACTCAAGGCCTTCCACTTCCTCTGAAGGTAGGAGACCCGAGGAGACCTGCCATGGCAAGGCATCTGGGATGGGGCCCATTTCTAAGACTCTAATGATACAGGATTCTTGTTGCAGTCAGGTAAACAAGAGCACAGCTAAGCTTGTTAGCTTGAGTCCGTTCTAGGCATGGACAGGGATTTCAAGGGTATCCAATGTATACAGAGACCGTTTCAGAAGGAAAAAGAAAATTTAAGAAGAAATTTTTTGAATGATCCATACAATGTCCCCCAGGAGGGTTGGATGACCTCTGGTTCCACTGTGATCCCTTCAACATGTTACAGCTTGGAGCAGAACATTGGGTAATTGCCCAGGCTGGAGTGTGACTTGTGAGGAGGGCATGGTCTCCCTCAGCCTAGCACAAAAGTGGGAGGGCTTATGAGGACAAAAGGATCATGGCTGGGACAAAAGTGTTTCTTTTCATCCAGACCCAAGCATAGCATTTGGCAGATACAGAAGGTGAGTTTGCTGCCAGTTTCACTTCACCTTGTAGCAAACGGCCTGGCATTTTTATTCGTTTTATAGCTGAGCAATGTGACCACACCTTCAGTGTGGAATTGGTGACAATGAGACCACAAAAGCAGGACAAAGCCTAAGTACAGATTGTTGGAGGTAGATCTGTTAAGTGTTTAAGGCAAGGAAGGTATTAGGAACTGTATGCTCTGGGAAGGTCTTTTTGCTTCCAGAATCAAGGCCAGGATGAAAAACAGAACACTAGGGGAACCTACTCCTTGCTGGGAACCAGAGAAGAAGCAGTGGCCACAGATACTCAGAAAGATTGGAGGTAGAAAGCGTAGAACCTACGCTCTGATGAGATGCAGGGGAAGATGGGCTGGGTCAAGAGTCAGGTGAGAGAGGACCAGCCTGGCACGGGCAGGAACAGTGCTTGGTGGTTCGGACAGAGGCACCACGGGACCTTTGAATGCTACCCAGCTGGAGGCAGTTTGGAATTCAGGTGCTGGGACTGAAAGAAGTCTGGCCTTGAAACTTAGGAACCCTTCATAGAAGGGTTACAGCAAAGGCTGCACACCTAGGTGGAGGCTTAAGAGATGCTTGCTCCCCACGGTGCTTTTAGCTAAGTACAGAAAAGCCAACTAAATAAGATTTTATCACCGAGTGGCTCGATGTCCTGCCAGGCATCCACCATACTTACTCATCAGCATGGTTTTGGCGTCAAGGACCCTTCATGTTCCAGTGTTCCATCTTCGGTGTCAAGAATGGCTTCCTTCACAGTGCTGCAGGTACCATAAGCACACAAGATTACACGACTCTTTTTTTTTTTTTTTTTTTTTTTTTTTTTTTTTTTTTTTTGATTTTTCGAGACAGGGTTTCTCCGTAGCTTTTGGTTCCTGTCCTGGAACTAGCTCTTGTAGACCAGGCTGGCCTCGAACTCACAGAGATCCGCCTGCCTCTGCCTCCCGAGTGCTGGGATTAAAGGCGTGCGCCACCACCGCCCGGCTAGATTACACGACTCTTAAGAGAGACTCTGGACCTTGCTTTACCTTTGGCAGGGAAGTCTTTCTGAGGTAGGTGTCACTTCCCCAGCCTCTCTAAGACGGGTTCAGCTCTGCAAATTTGGAAGTGCTGGAAGAGAGTTAAGGGATCAGAATAGACAAGCTTGGCCAACAAGGAAGCCACTAGTGTCACCTGTCACACAGCATCACCTCTGGAGGAAAAGCAGGTGGTCATGAAGGAAAGATGACAGAGCTCAACAGTCACAAAGAACAAGCCCCTCATCCATGCGACCCTGGAGGGACCTTCAAAACATGACATCAGATGTAAATGTCCATAAATGTTGTGATTTCCTTTCTATGAGATGCCTTGAACTCACCACAGCCGTTTTGCTTCGGCTCCCCAGGTCCTGGGGTTCCAGGCATGAGCTGTCGTGTCCATTTGGAAATGATTGTAAAACTGTCAGCAGGTTGGGCATGGGGTTGTAGTGCGAGCTACTCAGGAGACCGAAGCAGGAGGATCATGGAAGCCCAGACCTGGGCAGGATTGTGAAAGTCTGTTTTCAAAAAGGGGGAGGACTAAGGATATTGCTCAGTTGGTAGAGTGTCTACCATGCCCAAAGCACACAGGCCTGGCTTCCTTCACTAGCACTACAGACAAGCAGGTGTGCTAGCAAGTACATGTAAGCAACACATGAGGCAGGAGGAGCCTGGGTTCAAGGGAATCTGTCATAACATGGAGTGTTCAAGTCCACCCTGGCCTATATGATATTGTGTCCCAAAATAAAATTGGGGCAGGAGCATTGACTCAGCAGTTAAGAACACTTCTGCTCTTGCAAGGTGACTTGGGTTCAGCTCCCAACACCCATTTGTAACTCAAATTTGAGGGGAGCTGATGCTTTCTTCTGACTTCTGTGAGCACCAGATATGCACACGGCACACATACATACATGCATACGGCACACATACATACATGCAGGCAAAACTGACACATGATTGTCCAACTCTGAGGCTCTAAGAAGAACCGTCGCTAGGCATCCTGGTGTCTGTGCCCTTGTAGTCCCGGGCTGGACCCTTGAGTGAACATTAGGTATTCTAGGGTCTAGCCTTTGAGGCCTCACAGCCCGTCGCTGCCAGCAGCACTTGCATGCCAGTTAAGTCTTCAGAGAACCCAGCCCAGAAAGCAACACTGCACCTACTCCTTGGGCCACAGTGGGAACTGGCTAGACAAGCCTGTCCTGAGTTCCTGACCCACGACAGTGAGAAAGTGGTTGTTGTAAGCTGCTGAGGTTTGGAGTTAGTTGTTTCACAGCAGTAGTAGTCAGACCAAGGGGTACATGATGGAGTCAAGAAGTTTGGCTCTCAGCAATAGAGCACTCCTGTAATCCCAGAACTCAGAAGGCCCATGCAGGAGGGACATGCATTCCAAGCAGCTTGAGGTACACACTAAGACCCTGTGGCAACTGGTGGGTGGGGGGGGTGTTATCCTTACACAAAGAGATAGGCACACTACAAGTTTATAAGCCGCCTATTCTAGAATGTTGAAAGTTCTGTGCCCTCAAATGATACAATTTCTTCAGCAAGCAAAGACATCAAAGGAGTTGAAGGCACGGCTCAGTGGTTACGATTTTGTATTGCTATTCCAGAAGACCTGAGTTCAGTTCTGAGCACCCATAGTGGGTGGCTCACAGCTGCCTTTAATTTCAGTTCTAAGAGACCCGAGCCCTCTTCTGGCCCATGTGGGCACTGCATTCCCCATGTGGGCACCGCATTCATGCACAAATCCATAATCTGATACGCACATATACTTCAAAATTTAAAAAGAAAAGGAGGGGATTGTCATGAACCAAAGGCAATCTGTAGATCTGAGCTAGGTCATTTTAAGAGTCCGTTTGGATAGCAGATGATAATAATAATAAAGAATTGATTCTGGGCTGGAGTATCGCTCAGTGGCAGAGCAGTTGCCTAGCATGCTGGAGGCCCTGGGTTCCATCTCCAGCACCACTGAAAACAAAACCGAAATATGGTGAGGAGAAAGTGGCAACCCCAAAAGTTTCACCTTCTGTGACATGACTACTACTCTCTTCGGAATACTGTCCAGATGACAAAGTTATAAAGATGGAGAACTGACTTGGTTGCCAGATGTTGGGGTAAAAGAACAAGGTGTGACCCAAAGGACATCAGGAGGGAGTCTCTCTGGTGGAAGAATCCTATGTCCTATCAGATGGAGCTTTACATGTGCATGGATGAGCATATGCCTGTATACTCGCTAAATCAAGGTCAATTCTGCTGTTGAACTGTAATAAAGTGAGATGCTGCCACAGGAGAAACTGGGCAAAGGGAGCATGGGACCAGTTCTTGCTGCTTCTGCAACTATCTGAATATATGAATATTTTAAAAATAAAAGAATAAAAAAGTTATAATTCTAATTATTATAGTCCAGTATAAGAAATGCACACGGATTAAGAAAATAGGGAGAATACATGGAGTAGGAGGGGTGAGTGCACAATAACACTGACCGTGAACATCAGCAGAAAAGGGCAGGGTTATACAAGTTACACTAGGAGATGTGAGTGTAACCTCCTGCTGTAGAAAGCTTATTTCCACATGAGTAAGCGGGAATATAAAACGTAGGGCTTGGGAGAAGCTGGGAGCACTGGCTGCTCTTCCAGAGAATCCCAGCATCTGTATGACAGCTCACAGCTGTCTCTAACTCCAGTTCAGGGGGATCTCTGGCTCTTTTCTGGCTTCTGCAGACACTGCACTGGCAAAATAACCATACACATAAAATGTTTAAAATTTTTAAGTGGCGGTGGGGTGGAACTCAGTAGTGCACTTTTAATCTTGACACTGAAGAGGCAGAGGTAGATGGATCATTGTAAATTTTGGCCAGGCTGGTTGGTGTAAATAGTGAGTTCCAGGCCAGCTACAAAGTGAAGACTTGCATTGGAAAACCAAAAAAAAAAAAAAAAAAAAAGTGGGCACTGGTATGTAAATCAATTAATGGATTGCTTGCCCTGGGATCCATCACCAGTACAGTACAGATCTTACCTGGTGCTGCGTGCTTGTAATCCCACCACTTGGGCGGTAGAAATATGAGGATCATAAGTTCAACAAATTGAATTGTATTTCTCCATGAGGAGCATCATTCTAAGCCTTGAAAGGAAGAATGGCATCACTAAATGATATTGGAGAATATGTCCACACTATAACAACATCTACTCAAGATAGGCATGGTGGTACAACACCTGTCATCTAAGCAATTAGGAGGCTGAGGCAGGAGAAATCTCTTCGAGTTCCAGGCCAGCTGTGACTAGAGAGACCCTGTCTCAAACAAAACAAAATTCACACATGAAAACACACACATACCATTAAAAAAAATCTCTCCAAACACTATAAACACTATAAACATTATAAACACTATAAACATTATAAACACTATAAAACTCAAACCAAACAGTGAAAAATCACTTGCAGCCAGGTTTAGTGGCTCTCGCCTGTAATCCCAACAGTCAAGAGGCTGACACAGACAGATATTAAGCTTGCCATCAACTCAGGCCACATAATGAGACTGTGTGTCAAAAAAAGTTAATAGCACCAGGCAGTGATGGTACACACTTTTAATCACAGCCCCGGGGAGGCAGAGGCAGGCAGATCTTTGAGTTCGAGGCCAGCCTGGTCTACAAGAGCTAGTTCCAGGACAGGCTCCAAAGCTACAGAGAAACCCTGTCTCGAAACCACCCCTCCAAAAAAAAAAGTCTAAAATGTGATAGCGCACACCTGTGATTCCAGCATTCTTTGAAGCCAGATAAAGATATATAGCAGAACCTATTTCATACCGCCCCTTGTGGGCCTCTGGAAGCCTAGCGCTGACCATACTATCAGGGGAAATGCGGCTTCAGTATTGGAGCCACAAATAACCCTGACCCTAATCAAATCCGTCCATGGAATGTAGACTCAGGCTCCGAGCAGAATCCTAGCCAAGCTGTGCCTGACTTCCTGGGCCACCAAGACTGAAGGACTGTAGGAATGGGCACTGATAAAAATCACCAACTTTGAAGTAATTTTTATGCAGTAATAAAGTAGCTCAGGATGCCACTGTGGTATGACCGGCACCAGAGAGACACACTGAGGAGTTCCAGGCATGGTGGTGCCTGCCTGTAATCCCAATAACAAAGGCAGGAAGATTGTTCAAGGCCAAGTTCTAGGCAAGCTATTGCTCCATAGTAAGACTGTCTCAAAAAGTTAAACAGTGCAGATACCATATAGCAAGAACCTTAAATCAAGTGTTTTGTCTATATTCCCGGCTTTCAGGAGGTGGAGGCAAGAGAAGCTTGAGTTCTAGACAGCCCTGCCGACATGGTTAAGGCCTTGTCTCCAAAACCAGGGACATGTATGTGACAAGGTTTCTAGATAAGGTTAACTAAATAAGACTCAGTATCCATGCGATTGGCTGCACTGAGTGCACGACTGTCTCTTCTTCCGGTAGCCATACCTGCAGACGTGATGGGCTGTATCCCTTCTTAAACTAGGAGACAAAATACACCACTCCCTTAAGCTGTTGTCAGGCATTGGTCATAAACTGTGTGAACCAGTGGAGTTGGTCACACAAAGGATGGGAAGCCCAGATAGGCGTAGGGCCCAGGGCTGTGTGTACAGCGCAGAAGGCGGCTGAAAGAGGAGCCTCTGCTCCACAGATGGTGCAGGAACGTGAACTCTCTGGAAGCACAAGAAGCAAGCATGTACAATATTTAGATCTACATATATAGGTTTTGTTTGATTTATTTATTTCCTGAATTATTTTTTATCGAAATATTTTTCTACTACAATATCTTCTGATTATGGTTTCCCCTCCCCTAACTCCTCCCAGGTCCTCCTCACTTTCCCACTCATCCAAATCCACACCCTTTCTTTCTCTTCTCATTAGGATACAAACAGGCATCTAGACAATAATAAAATAGGTAAGATAAATACAAGCAAACCATAATAGGACAAAACAAACAGAAGAAAAAGAGCCAAAGAAAAAGTTCAAGAAACAAATAAGCCGGGCTGTGGTGGCGCACACCTTTAATCCCAGAACTCAGAAGCCAGAGGCAGGCGGATCTCTGTGAGTTCAAGGCCAGCCTGGTCTACAAGAGCTAGTTCCAGGACAGCTAGGGCTACACAAAGAAATCCTATCTCAAAAAACCAAATAAAGAAATAAATAAAGCCGGGCGATGGTGGTGCACGCCTTTAATCCCAGCACTTGGGAGGCAGAGGCAGGCGGATCTCTGTGAGTTCGAGGCCAGCCTGGTCTACAGAGCTAGTTCCAGGACAGGCTCCAAAGCCACAGAGAAATCCTGTCTCAAAAAACAAAAAAAAAAAAAAGAAAGAAAGAAAAAGAAGAAAGAAAAGAAACAAACACACACACATACATTTACACACAGAAATCTCATAAAAACACCAAACTTGAAGCCATAGTATACACACAAAGGAATTGTTGAATTGTCAGATTGTAGGCTTTTATTGTTGCTGTTACTGGTTTGTTGTTGTTGTTGTCTGTTTAAAAACTACCTTGAGGACTGGAGAGATGGCTCAACGGTTAAGAGCATTGCCTGCTCTTCCCAAGGTCCTGAGTTCAATTCCCAGCAACCACATGGTGGTTCACAACCATCTGTAATGAGGTCTAGTGCCCTCTTCTGGCCTGCTCGCATACACGCACACAGAATTTTGTATACAAAATAAATAAATAAATAAATAAATAAATAAATGAAAAATAAAAACTACCCAGACAAAGCATTATGAGACGATGAACCTCCAGGAATGCCTATTTCTAGAACATTTTGATTCATAAAGTTCTGAACAGAAAGGTTTTCCAAATTGGAATTCTTTGGAGACTAGGCACCTGAGCCCTCTAACATTTCTGACCAGGCAGCTCAATGGGGAGAGGGTGGCTGGTTCAGACAGTAAATCTGGAGATCCTGAAGGTCTGACTAGCGTGTGTGTTGGGAATAGCCAGCTGTGCAGTGGTAGGTCACCGGGCGGCAGCTCACACTGTGACTCAGGTGGGCATTTAAAGTACTCTCTGTTCATTTGCTCATGAAGGTGTGTGGTGGAAGCACTTGGAAGTTAGTAAATGACATGTCGCCAAGTTTGGAGACAATGCCAGTCTTAGAAGTATCTGTTGCTAGGTGGTGGTGACACACACCTTTAGTCCCAGTACTTGGGAGGCAGACACAGGCAGAACTCTGTGAGTTCGAGAACAATCTGGTCTACAGATCGAGTTTTGAGACAAAGAAACCCTGTCAGAAAGAAAAATGACTGTTAATTTCAAGAATAGAGAGGCCTTGGGATTGGTGGGATCCTAGCTTGTCTGTATTAAAGACTCAAAAGAATGTCGTGGCCTGTCCTCATCACCCCGGAGGTATCCTGCAGTTTGTGAAATGTAGTCTCCTCTGTTTCTTCCTGCATGAGTCTACCCAGTACTCACAGCTGCCCCTCCAAGCTGTCAATTTGTCTGAGTGGTGGAATCAAACCATCAGGCAGTTGGTTTTGTTTTTCCCACTGGCCATGAATCTGTTTCCATTACCGGGAGCTAAAACAGGCCTTATCTTCATTGTGGAAGAAGTTTCCACACACCCACTAAATGGATGGATGTTTTCTTCCCTCTAGACAAATCTGATACAAAACAAAAGTCGAGCAAGAAGAGAAATGTCATTCCGCAGATCATCATCACCCAAGCCTCAAATGAGACGCTAATCAGCTATGGCCTCCCTGAAAATGAAGAACAGAGAACCATTCATGAACAGGCTGACTGGGGCCCTTACTACCGACACAGGAGCCCTAGCACAATAGCAGCCTATGAAGGACACAACCCAGAATAAATGAGAACTCCCAGGAGCTGTGATTGTTTCCTGTGATCTGATGGAAGGGCCACCCTTCCCTGTGCTGGCACTGGATGCCCTTCTCCAGTCCTTGAGGTTCTGTCTCAGCGCCTATTTGAGTTTTCCCAGAGTCCTCAGCAACTTGATGGGGAGAGAGTGACTGGCTCAGAGAGTAAATGGCATTCCCCCCAAGTCTGCAGCAAAGGTCAGTCTGAGAACTGTTAAGTTCAAGAGCAGAGACGCCTCAGGGCTGGTGGGACACTAGCTTGGCTGTCTGTAGTGTGTCCTTGAACTGAGGAGGGCAGCAGGGCACTTAGGCTATAGCCTGTGAATGCTGTCTTGTTTTTCTGGCCCATGGATGAAGGGACTTTAGAGAGAAGGGCCACTAGGAATCCAAACATGTGCCATTTTTTCAGTCGACTCAACCCTAGCAAACTTCGGGTCAGGCTGTGTCTTGAGAGAATGCCCCTACCAGCCTCCTTTCTTATATGTGGTCTAGTAAAAGTGTGTTCTCTTCACTAATTGCCATATTGTTTGGGCTCTGTAGGCTAACAAAAGCAGAGTCAGTGATATGCCTACCAAGATCACAAACACACCTTCTCCTGTACTAGGGCGAGTTACACATGCCAACAGTTTCTAATATATACATGAGGCCAGTTAGTGTATAAAATATGTAGACTATACTAGCTAGTACATACTTGCAGGCCTGACAATATATATCTTCATATACCTAACCTAAGTGACTTTGAAAAATGATTTGTGTGTGTGGTCCTGAGGAGTGAGCCTAGGGCCTCACATGGTGATGTGGGAGTGATTTCTTATTAATAAAGAAACTGCCTAGACCCATTTGATAGGCCAACCCTTAGGTAGGCGGAGTAAACAGAACGGAATGCTGGGAGAAAGAAGCTGAGTCGGGGAGTCGCCATGATTCTCCCACTCCAGACAGACGCAGGTTAAGATCATTCCTGGTAAGCCAGCTCGTGGGCTACACAGATTAATAAAAATGGGTTAGATCAATATGTAAAAGCTAGCCAATAAGAAACTAAAACTAATGGGTCAGGCAGTATTTAAAAGAATACAGTTTCCGTGTAATTATTTCGGGTAAAGCTAGCCGGGTGGCGGGACACAGCCCGCCGCTCCGTACTACAACAGAGTGGCACCCAACGTGCTAATGAACTCCACGTAAAACCTGAGAGGGCTTAAAAAGGAGAGAAAGAAAATTTAAGACAGCTTTTTACTGTTTGTGGGTTGCGTGCCGCAAAGAAATTGTCCTGACTCAGCAGCAGGAAAAAACTGGCTGTTTTAAAATGCCGGCTTTCTGGGCTGTGCCGCCATTGCGATCTCTGTCTGGCTCCTGTGGGAGACAGAGCTTTTGAATGGAGCATTTGGAGTAACGCTCTACGGCTTGCTTGATGGCAATGTGGACTACTGTGTGCCTGAAACTGTGTGTGGCTCAGGGGCACCAAATGGCTCTGAGGCAGGAGCGGCTTGGCTCAGCTCTGCCATGCTGAACTGTGCTGGTCTCAGGCAGAAACTACCGTAATTACCATAAAAACAGCGCATTTAAGGTTTCAACTGGGCAGGACACAGGCGGTACCGTATTACCTGTACATGGTGCAACTTAAGTTTTTAAGAACTGCTTAACATTTTAAGAAATGCTCCTGGATAGTAAAAAAAATGTTACAGATTCACAATAAAACAGATTCAGACATAAAAGACCACAGTGTTGGATGAGTGTACGTAGGCTTGAGAGAGAGAAGAAAAGAATATAGAGAATAAAGTTAATGGTTTAAAAAAAAAAGGTAAAGTCTTTAAAGAGACAGAGTACAGATAGTTAAGAGATTAAAAGAAATAAAGAAAAATAAGCCACGTAAAAATGGAAAATTCACAGAGAGTCTGGATAATGTACATGTGTTTTCTTTAAAATTTTTGACTGTGAAGGAGCTAAGTACAGAGAGACATTTCATTATATGGACTGCCAAGTGTAACCAGAACGGATATCATGAGGGTATGACTTCAAAATTTGGGTCTAAGGATATGATGCTTTGGAGAGAGTCTTCTTTTGTTTTCACAGAGGATGAGACTCTATGGATTTTTTCTATTACAATTTGGTATGATAGACCACGCCCTCCTGAAAGGTTGTGAACATCTTCAGAAAATTGCTTCGCTCAACTGCCAACTAAGATGAAACTAGCACACAGGTTATACCATGAAAGGCCTAATTAACGACGCCCCCATTCAGCAGGAAGCAGTTTGGAGAGAAAAACTGCGCCCATGTTCCCAAAATATTGTTTATAAATGTTCTTTTACATTTAAAGGGGGATATGATATAGGTATGAATAATTTGCATTGGTATGGATTTTAAGGTCAATTTTGTTATATGTATATGTATTTTTGATCTTGAATAAGGTGTGATTGTGTAGTTCATTTTTAAAATGTAATGTATAATTAGGAAATATAGGTTGTTGATGGATAATCATAAATAATAGTCAAGTTTGTAGTCATGTTACTTAGATTTTCTAGATATATAGAGATATATTTCAGATAGGCATTCTTCATATCTCTCAAAGGCTACAGAATATGGCATTTAAAATATTTTAATAACTTAGGACTTTTCATGACAATGAGACACGTCTGCTCCTGGCAGCACCAATCTACTTCGAGAGAAAGATGGGCATCAAAGAGGATCCTTATGGAGTTTGATAGCCATTTGGGCAAGAAACTGCTCTTGCCTAGACTGTTGCATAAAATGGACACAGAGAACCCGCAGAGAGAGGACTGCTGAACTTGCCTAAAGGTGAGATGGTCTTTCGGGGTTCATGACTCATGAAAGAGTCTGCGAGACATTCTGCAGGACACAGCAGATAATGACTAAACTGTCTTTGGAATTTCCTGCTTCATGAAAATGTCTGCTGGATACTTTGGGCCTGAAGGCTGAAGATGGATGCCCCAACGGTACAGAGGAACTTTGGGTGACTGTCCAGGCAGCGAGATGTCTCTGTCATTTCTAGAGTTTTCTTATTTCTTGTTTACTTAGGTAGTATTATATCCTTCTGGAGTCTTTGATGGAGTTGAAGAATAAATAGATAGTTATAGTTTTCCTTAGTTATGATAAAAGATAAAATAGATATAAATATTGTAACTGTAATTCTTGCTTGATAACTGTTTTGCTATATGTAATTTTACTATGTTAAAGTTAAAGCCTTTCTTTTTTGTTTAAACAGAAAAAGGGGAAATGATGTGGGAGTGATTTCTTATTAATAAAGAAACTGCCTAGACCCATTTGATAGGCCAACCCTTAGGTAGGCGGAGTAAACAGAACGGAATGCTGGGAGAAAGAAGCTGAGTCGGGGAGTCGCCATGATTCTCCCACTCCAGACAGACGCAGGTTAAGATCATTCCTGGTAAGCCAGCTCGTGGGCTACACAGATTAATAAAAATGGGTTAGATCAATATGTAAAAGCTAGCCAATAAGAAACTAAAACTAATGGGTCAGGCAGTATTTAAAAGAATACAGTTTCCGTGTAATTATTTCGGGTAAAGCTAGCCGGGTGGCGGGACACAGCCCCGCCGCTCCGTATTTCAACAACATGGTGCTGGGTAGATGCTCTCCTATTGAGCTGCAGTCCCAGTGTGGTTGTTTTCTGAGACAGGGTTAGGGTCTCACATCCAATCCAGTCTGGACTGGAACTCACTATGTAGTTCTGGTCAGTCTTGAGACAGCAACCTCCTGTCTCAGTCTCCCAACTGCTGGGATTTCAGGTTTGTGACAACATTCCCAGAGAAAAACAATTTTCAAAGTTTTAGAAAAAAAATGTAAAAGGGCAATGTGGCGGAGATCTCACTTTAAAAAAAAAATACGTTAGAGACTGGCTACTGAAGAAAGTATTCTTTTGTTTTGAGATAACCAGACTATGTAACCTGTTCTAGTTTGGAACTCAGAATCTTCTGGCCTCAGACTCCAGAGTGTTCCTATTACAGGAATTATATACGCATATTCCCTGCGTCCAAACACACACTACAGCATTGACCTAAGTACTGTGCCCACATGGGCCTGGGCTCTGGGTACTGAGAAGCAGGAACATTCGCTTTCCTAATCTATACAAAGATAGATTAGGGGTTAGAGACAATGGTGTTCAGAGCTGAGCAGCCTCACAGAACCTCTTGGGCTGGCATTGCTCTCCAGTGGCCAGTATGGCTATTCCTTCCCAGCTGTCTCCCAAACCATGCAACTCTTCCTCAACCAGGAAGGCAAATGTGGAGTAGAAAGAACAGGAAAGCAGCCCTTTATTTCCTTGTGGATGATATGCCTCTTCCTGCGCAAGACTTCATCTGTCTTGTCCTTGGCTAGAGATGGGACAAGGTTGACCTCAATAAGAGATGGGTTCCCACAGAGCCAGTTTTCGGGGAATGTACCTAACCCCTGTGAAAAAGCATAATTCTTTTGCAGTGATCTCCTTGAAGAGCAGAAAGCATAGCTGATCTGCTGGAACTGGTCTCACTTAAGTGGGAAATAGGAAAGGAAAGCGTTTTCTTCGGCTGATCAGAACCAGACTTCTGAAAGCTTGACTAGGGATGTACTTTGAGCAACTTTAAGGGGTCGTGTCTGCACCTAACGCTGCAAATGGGACGGAACCTCTACCATGAGCAGGTCCACACTGGACGTCCTCTAGGAATGCTTAGGTGATGGGCCCAGAACAAACCGGAAGTATGTTATGCGCCTGCGCCGATGGGCGGTTTACGCCTGCGCGCTGGAAGTGGGCGGTGGAGCGGCACGGGCTTCTGCATGGCGGAGGTGGACCTAGAGTCGGATCAGATCCGACTGAAGTGCATCCGTAAGGAAGGTTTCTTCACCGTGCCTCCAGAACACAGGGTGCGACGGGGTGCCACTCGGGCGGCGCTGTGGCAGGGCCGGACTGGAGCGCTTTGAGGCTCACTGTCGCCTTAAAGTTTGAGGCTCCGGCATCGGAGGGATGTCAGTCCCAGAGTTGGCTGCGGCGTGTGCAGAAATCCGCAGCCGAGCGGCTGGGGACGGGGCACGCGGGTGGGATCCGACGGAGTGCGAACTCGGGTGAGGCGGCGGGGTGGGGCGTGGAGTTTTTGCGGAGAGAAGAATGGGGCGTTCCGGTGGCACCTGCAGCCGGGAGTTGTCACCTTGTTTACTGGTCTGCTTTACCCACACTCGGTATAGTCTCTTTTGTGTGATGGGGAAGGTGAACCTTAGGAGCCCTGATTTGGGCTCAAGTAGACTGTTGGTAGG